CCGTCTGGGGCACGTCTGGTGCGGCTGAGGCCCCACTGACTTTTGACCCATCTGGAATGGCGGCAGCAATAGCTGACGATGGAAAGAGACGCTCCTTCTCACTGAAAAAACACAAGGCAGGTGTTTTAGGAATTATCCTAAATTAGAAAAACATTAGAAAAACTGTTTCTCTGTCCAGCTACTTCGTCTACCTGTCCTTCTCTCTCTCCCTGTCCTCGGCGGAGCTGTCCATTGTAGACTCATCCATGGTGTCGACCGAGTCCTCCCCCTCGCTTACTCCCTCCTCCACTCTAGCCCCCTCCTCCTCCTCTTCTTCGTCATCCTCCTCGTCCTCAGAGGAAGAGGACGATGAACCCGAGCTGCTTTCCGAGTCGGAGGAGGAAGCACTCTCATCATCAGAGTCCACCTTCGAGGAGCCCTCACTGACAGCCTCATCTGCAGAGAGAGACGAGTAAACAGACTGACTGGACACTCCAGGACATTAACACTGCACTGAGAGAGAGGGGTTAATACAGTACAGACACACTGACTGGGCACTACAGGACATTAACACTGCACTGAGAGAGAGGGGTTCATACAGACACACTGACTGACTGGACACTCCAGTCCATTAACACTGCACTGAGAGAGAGGGGTTCATACAGACACCCTGACTGACTGGACACTCCAGTACATTAACACTGCACTGAGAGAGAGGCGTTCATACAGACACACTGACTGACTGGACACTCCAGTACATTAACACTGCACCGAGAGAGAGGGCAAGGGGTTAATAGAGATAACCTCCTACAGTGCATGTAATACCGTCATCAATAATATATACGACCAAATCCCCTTTCACCACAGATTAATTTCTTGTTCTTGTCTATGTTATATTGCCCCCTGGGGATTATAAAAACACTCTCAGTCTAAAAAATTAACTTTCAGAAATAAAATAGGCGAAACCTACCTTCCGAGTCCTTGTCACTGTCGTCGTCATCATCGTCATCCTCCTGGTGTGATCAAAGCACAGAAGTGAATATTTCGTGGCCACTTAATTCCGTACAGTGCAACAGGAGCACAGGCTGGGGGAGGGGAGCCGTACCTTGTCTGAAGAGGAGCCCTCCGAAGTCTCCTCTCCTTCGCTGTCCAGGTCGAACGCTTTCCGCCTCTTCAGTCGCCCTTTCCTTCGGGCCCCGTCCCCGTCCCTTCCTGGGCCCGTCCCGGAGTCCGCGTGGCCCAGGAGACCCATCCCCTTGTCCCGGTACGAGTCTGAGGGAGAAGGCCGAGAGGGAGGCATTCACAAGGAGGATCTACAGCATCCACCCCCTGCCAAGCTCGGGCTGCGATCACCCGAAAGTGTGATGCAACCCATCGCCCTCTACGGCAGCGGATGGGACAAACAGCCCTTTCAAGCCCTGCACGCAGAGCTCTGAGAAGACCGTCCTCCGTGTGCAAGGCCAAAACAGGCCAATACTCACTGCTGGTCAAGGTACAGAAGAGAGCAATCAAATATTGGAAATACTAAGAAACAGGGACCAGCATTCCTGCCACCACAAGGCACTGCCCAGAGCTGAGCCCAGAGAAGAGCCCCCTCAGCCAGCTGGTCCTGAAGCTCTCCGACACCAACTCTAATCCCAGAATTCCCACACCTGTCAGAATCAGAACAGCTACTAGAGGAGGAAACTCAACAGTGCTGCAGCCCAATATATGATCTCCTGACAGCCTGAGGAACAGGCAGTGAGTCGGTCTCTCAATAATAATAATAATAATAATACAGTGTGTGATACTGTCACAGCCTGAGGAACAGACAGTGAGCCTGTCTCTCAATAATAATAATAACAATAACAATAATAAATACAGTGTGTGATCCCGTCACAGCCTGAGGAACAGACAGTAAGACTGTTTTTCAATAATACAGTGTGTGACCTCCTGTCACAGCCTAAGGAACAGACTAAATAAAAAAACTAAAGTTGTATGTGTTTTATGTGCTGTAGCAGGCATGGCTCGCTGGTCTAGGGGTATAATTCTCGCTTAGGGTGCGAGAGGTCCCGGGTCCAAATCCCGGACGATCCCTTGTGTGCTCTTTAGGCAGAGCGGTGGCGCTAAGGATCTGCACCCGTGGCTGGAAGGTTGCTGGTTCAAATCCTGCTGCCGGCAGAGGAACACTATATTCCGTTGGGCCTGAGCAAGGCCCTTAACCCCAACTGCTCCAGGGGTGCCGTATAAATGGCTGACCCTGCGCTCTGACCCCCAGCTTCTCTCCCTGTCTGTGTGTCTCATGGAGAGCAAGCTGGGGTCTGTGAAAAGATGAATTCCTAATGGAAGAGATTATATATTTCTTATATATATGTAGACATTTTATTGGCCAGTTAGATAAGATAAGATCACTTTGATTGTATATGACCAATAAAGTAATCTTATCTTATCTAACTGGCCAATAAAATGTCTACACTGTAAATGTCTGTTGTGGTTGTTGAGGTTACTTTATATGCTTTAGCATAAAAATGCTTTAGCATATGCTTTAGCAAGACTGTAATTACACGTTGCACCAATGAAGCTTGTTTAATTTGAATTGGAGAGATGGGTTAATTACAGACACAACGACTATGTGGTGAAAAATTCAAATGACCCGTGACTGCTACTTTTCCCTTCATGAGTGCATCCCTGATTTCATTACGCAGAACATTAGAATTATAATAAACACTTCTCTTCGAAAGGCACCTCAACTTCCACTTCATCTCCAGCACTGACACTGGAACGACCCCGACACCTCCAGCCTCGCCGTTGTGATTCAGCGAGTGCGGGCTGCCGAGACAGACCTTGACTGTTCTCGTTCCCGTGCCAATGACAGGCTGAGCGCTCGTGCGAGGACAGACCGAGACCGTGGGCTCTGGTCCGAGACCACCGGGGATACGGAACTCAAGACGGGGAACCGTGCGCAACCCCGAGTTTGTCAGGGACCTGGGTGGGGGGGAACAGTGGTCAGGGCAGTAGCGTGTGTCACCCGACCCCACGGTTTTGGACTCCCTTTTGGCTCTGCTCCCTGTGTATCCCTCGGGGTTCCCCCCCTCCTGCTTGCGCCCCGGCTGCCGTCGACCCTGGCCCCCAGCCC